AACAGAAAGGATGACAAATGGTGGATCCCCACTCCAAAGGTACCTCCTAATGGCTTATCAGAAGCTTCCAAGAAATGGATACAATCTCAGAAGGACGCAGTAAACCAGGTCCACAAAGCAGCTATGGCTATAAACGCTCAAGTCCTTGGAGAAATGGAGATCCCTGATACTTATATTGAGTCTCTTCCCAAGGTATACACACATATACTATATCTAGCTCGATCAACATGCATGCATGCATGCAATCAATTTTACTTTTCCCAGTCCTAAAACCTTTTCTTGTTTTGATTTTTTTTACTTAAACCGTGACACTCTTTGACCATAAAAATCAAAATAGAAAGAGTTTTTAAGACCTAAAAGAGTATACACATTGGTGTTCGTGTTATTTTTATTAATTTATGTATATTATTTATTTATAGAATGGGAGAGCGAGCTTGGGGGACTCGATATATAGATGCATTACGGATGAATACTTCGACCCCGATTATTTTCTCTCAACAATGGACTTATCATCAGAACATAAAATCCTGGACCTGAAGAATAGAATAGAGGCTTCTGTTGTGATTTGGAAAAGAAAGATGAATGCCAAAAACGAGAAATCGACGTGGAGCTCAGCTGTCAGTATAGAGAAAAGAGAGTTGTTTGAAGAGAGGGCAGAGACTATATTGCTCATTCTCAAGCATCGCTTCCCTGGGATTCCCCAGTCTTCCCTTGACATTAGCAAAATCCAATATAACAGAGTATGTAATGCATCCTCCTTCTCAAACTAAATTCTGTGCCTTGATTTTTCTTAGACTCTAACGCACACTTTTGAACATGAATATCTTCTCTTATATTTCTTACTGTCTCATAAAGATGTTCCCATTTTGTTTTTTTAGAAAATTTAAGGGAGAGATATTTTTGTGTTGACTTTCCAAAAATATCCTTCATGTGATGGGTAAAAATAGTATGTGATGAGTACATTATTAATAAAAATGTATGATGTGATAGGTAGGATAAGAATTAGTAGGTGTAAAAAAGTAATTTTTTATTGAAAAGAGGAAAGACTTTGTGGAACAAGAAAAAAAGAAAGGAAAAGGAATTTGTGGGACTGAGGAAATATATAGTACTAAAAACTATGCTAAAATAAGAGTTAAAAAATTAAAACAAATTTGGTCAATTAAGATCACTAAGTTTTGTGTTATAAAATAATTTAATACGTGTAATATGTGATGTATATATTGAAGGTCGGTCAAATATAATACTCCCTCCGTTCTCAAAAAGAGTTCTTACTTTGAAAAAGTGGAAAAATAAGTGTTAAATTGTAGTTGACTTCCAATTTTGCCCTTGATGTGATAGGTAAAAGTAAGATGTGATATATAGATTATTAGAGAAAAAGTATGATGTGATAGGTAGGGTATGAAAAAGTAAGAGTAAAAGTGGTTTTTTAATAGAAAGTAGAAGTGTTTTGTTGGAAGCAAAAAAAAATGAAAGAGAAAGTGTTTCTGAGAACGGAGGGAGTACTTGGTATATTTTGATTTTGAAAAAGTAAAGGTGATATTTATTTAGAGACACAAAGAGTATAATATTAGAATCATTTTTTTCAAACTAAGAGTCCGTTTGGTATACGGAATTGATGGAATTAGAATTGAAATTCCATGGGATTCAATTCCATAGAATTGAATTCATTAATTCCAATTCCTTTTTTGCACTATCAATTTCAATCTACATAATTTTTGTGTTACCAAATACTCCCTCCGTCCTAAATTTAACTTCTCACTTTCCTTTTCAGGATGTCCTAAAATTATCTTCCCATTACTTAAAATGGCAACTTCTACTATATCAAATGACAATAATACCCTCTAACCTATCCTTTCTTTTTTCCTTCCTAATTCTCACGTCCTCCTTTAACCCCAACCTCATCGGTTTTCTTTAATTTCTTCTTAATTCTAACTTCTACTTCTCATAATCTCATCCCAGCGACCTTCTCTTTCTTATCTCAAATCTCAGTTTTCCTTTTCGATTCGAATTTCCTTTCCCTTCACGAGATTTCATTTTTTTGTCTTTGATTTTGTTTTCGTTGCACTGCACCTTTGTCTCTAGAATAAAATTGCATTTATGATTCCATTCATTTTCAGATCTATTCTTTGTTGTTAAGATTAACACACTAAAAAGCCTAAGAAGAGCAGATCCATTTTTTTCTATTGCATC